TACTATTATTAGTATATATATATATATATATATATATATATATAATATATAACTGGAGAAAAACTACCGAATTACGAATTGGACAGATTGCTTGGTGTCGCCCGATGATGCGTATTATTCGTAGAATACCGACATCCGACACCGACACTCGAAAAGAGTCTTCGGGCCACTTGAAATAATGGCCTCAAAACGTGCCCTTTCTATACAATAGCGAAATTTTCGCTCAGTTGAATAATATAATTAATAATTATAATAATATAATTAATAATAATAATAATATACTACGCGCGAGCTTTATTTTTCCTTAATAGAAGCAGTCTTTAAACGGCTGCTCGACAGAGTCCGTAAGGAGTCTTCATCGAATTCCCGTGGACGTGGATATTGATCGACAGTTAATGGGATCGCCTCAGTCTATTCGAGGCATCTCGACAGGTTTTCTCTGGGACGTCCGATGCATTTAGGCGGCCAAGCCATGAGGTGTTTGATGTAGGAGAGCAGGATACTGTTGAGCCACGTGCGCTAGCTGATGATGATGATTGCCAGTGTGTGCGTGCGTATGTGTATGTGGATGGACTACGGCCGTGGCGGGTGTTACGGTACCCGACGACGATGACGACACGTGGATTGACGGCAGCGGCGTCTGGGACTGCGGCGCGTGATGGAGGCTATGACTGTGACCTGCTACCAGGCTGCTATGGCTGCCTCCGTGGCTGCCACCGTTGCTGGATGAGGTATGGCTATGATGATGATGCCCAAAGACGACCCCAGAGAAGGCCACGGGTCACTGATGATGCTTCGTGGAGCCGTTCGCGTGATGCGCCTGCGCGACCACGTGGTGACTCGAAGGTGGTGCGTGCGCGGTGCTCGGATGATGATGACTACCGGTCGTCGCATGGTGATTCGCGTTGTTGGCGCTGCTGCTGTTGTTATTATTGTTATTTTGCTGCTGAGATTGCCGCTGACTGTTTTTTTATTCTTCATCCGACGGTTTTGAAACCAGATTTTAACTTGGCGTTCGGTTAGATTTAGATTGCGCGCGAGCTCCCATCGCTTCTGTTTCGACACGTAAGCATTGAAGAGGAATTCCTTTTCCAGCTCAAGAGTTTGGAATTTGGAGTAAGGTTTGCGTTTCTTCCGCACCGTCACCTGGCCCGTCCATTCCAAAGGGTTAGAGCTTCCGCACCCGACGCCCATGCCAGCTACGCCAACTCCGACGCCCACACCCGCAAGCGAACCTGCGGGAAACAAGGAAGATGGGGAGGAACCCCACATCACTTAACACAATTAGTTTGCCGATGATAAAACAACCTAGCTGCTAGCTAGTAATATATAGTAAGGAAATTCCGTCTCAAAGGCGATGACAATTAAAAAAATTTTAATGTTACTTTTGCTTCTGATAAAAGTTTATAAAATTATGTTAATATAATAGTCTGAGTCAGATTAAATTATAAAAGTATAATCAATATTCAGTTCGATCAAAATCAATAGATAAAATAAATCTATAAATCAATTTATAGATAAGTTTACTGCCTATAGAATAGTTTTTAGTTTG